TTGAAAAGGCTTTTGATCGAATAACGAGGAAGGTCATTGAAGGGGTATCAAAATTTATCATGTTAGACAAAACAACTGAATTCATATTAGAAGTTTTTCTTTATAAAAAAGTTGTTCTTAATTAAGTTGTTCTGTAAAAAAAGTTTTCTTAATTAAGTCGAAAATCGATTTTTTAAATAGACCATAGTTAGATATTTGTAAAACTAAACGGTAGTTTTGATCACAGTTTTGATCCAAAAACATCACAGTTTTAATCCAAAAACAAAAACTAAAGATGAAAATAAAAGAGTACGAGGAACAATACAATTATATATCCAAAAAATGGTAAACAAAGAGTTAAATATATATCTAGGTAAATTTGGGCTCATTTAGCTCCTCCCATTTTTTTTATAACCTGCTCTTGTGTTGTTGTAATATTATAAATAAATGATTTTTTAAAAATGCAATTTTTAATTTTTCTTCTTTAGTAAAATTTTAAATGATATTTATAGCACAGTTTCTAATTTTTCGTCTTTTTTAAAAATGTCATTTATTTGTAAATAAAAAGTTTATTTCATAGTTTTTCACTTTAAAAAAATTCATAATTTATGAGTTCAAGCCAAAACTCTTTTTTATTAGTTCATGAATTTATTGACTATAAAAATTAATTTGATTGATTAATTGATTGATTGATCATGATTTATTTTAATAATGAAATAGATTAACCTTTTATTTTAAAAAAACGAACGCAAGCTGATTTTAAAATATTTATTATTAAAAATTATTTTGAAATGAATAACAGATTTAATTTTTTTAAATTTTTATATTTTATTTTACAATAAAATAAAAGTTTTTGAAATATTTATTATTAAAAATTATTTTGAAATGATTAACAAACAAAAATGATTGAAAAAATTTCTATTATTATATAATGTTTGGTTTTTGTCAATCAACTGGTAATCTATTTGAATATAAGTTTCCAGTACCAACATAAGATTTTGCCCAAACCAAAATAAGTAAAAAAAAAAAACTTACTTTTCAATGTTACCAAAAGCCTCACTAGATATATTTCTATTAACATTAGTAGGCTTTCAGAAAATATTCACATCTGGTAACACAAAACGAACAGCATTAGTAACTAAGTAATACAGGGACAATCAGTGGCGGATTAACCTTTTTGCCGCCTAGAGGCACTCGTGGTTTGCCGCCCCAATTTTAAATTTGATAATAAATTTAGAAATTAAATTCATATAAACGCAATATTTTTAAAACATTTTTATTAAGTACATTCTTTAGTAATATTCATGTAATGTAATATTATCAATTTTAAAAAATAAATTTTCTTTCATTGCAGTTTATATAATAGTTATATCAAAACTTTACGACGTGCCTTCCTGCGCGCAAATTCATCAATAACGAAATTAATGTCTAAATCTTGCAAAATTGTTTTTTCGATGCATAGAATTGCAAGATAATTTAACCTTTCTTCGGACTTTGTCGAACGCAAATAGTTTTTAACGCGCTTTAAACAAGAAAAAGATCGCTCGGCCGAACAGTTTGTAGCAGGAGTACAAGTGTACATCCGAAGTGCAATGTCTACATTTGAATATACACACTGCAAGTCATTCAATCTTATCCATTTACACAAATCAATTGGAGTGTGTGGAACTGCATTTCGGTCTAAGGTAGCCAAATGAGACTTTAAATGCAACAGTTCAGTATTTAAGGTGTCGTCTAGATCGTTTGGAAATAAAGATCTTAATCCATCCGCTGCAATCTTTAACTCACCCATTGACAATGTTTTGAACTGTACAATTGCTTTGAAATTTTTATTAATTTCTACATAAGCGTTTCGTCTCTTGTTCATTTCAGAATTTAAGTTATCCACAATTACCAAAAATATGTTTACAAGTAAATTTTCTCGAGTGGTAAATTCTGTTTCATTGTCAACTGATTCGTCGTAATGCCGCTTCCGTTTTCTTAATGGCGGTACCTTGTAGTCATCAACTAAAGACAGGACTTTTCCTTTTTTTTCATAATCCTCAAATCTTTCTCTGAGTGATTCGAACAACGTTAAAAGTGAGTCGTAATTTTCTGATTCCAACCATATTTCAATGCTCTAACTGCGTCGTCGCGAGCAGACCACCGGGTAGTGGAGGGACTTTTCAAATTTTGAACTAGATTTTTGCTGTGTGTGGTTTTGGAGAACTTCCCATCTGGCAGTAGAAGCACTGAAAAAGTTGTAAACATGTTGGATCAACTAAAAAAAATTGCAAGCTTTTGCACTGGATTTAGCTGCATTTGTGCCAACAAGGTTTAGTGAGTGAGCTGAGCATGGTATAAATAAAACTTGATGATTGACTTCCTTGATTCGCGCCTGAAGTCCTGAATACTTGCCAGCCATGTTTGAAGCGTTGTCGTAAGATTGTCCGCGACAGTTTTGAAGATCCAGGTTGTATGATTGTAAAAAACAAATTACAGCGTTAAATAGTTTTTGCGATTTGTGGCCAGTGTTTGGTAGAAACGCTAGAAACGCTTTGTAAGGCGTTCCGCTTTTTTGAACATATCTGATTACAACGGAAAGTTGATCAACTTTTGCTATGTCAGGCGTTGAATCAACAATTATTGAAAAATATTTGCTAATTTTTATTTGGTAGACGAGTTCGTCTTGTACAGCATTTGCCAATATTGCTGCTAACTCTTCTACAGTTGTTGATGACAGATAAGATGTATTACTTTTGCCACGTTTGCCAAATCTTTCTATATGATGCGCCATAAAAGAATCAAATTTAGCAAAGAAATGTCTTGCACTAATGAAAAACGCATCGACTAACTTATCTTCAGTATCATTTCGTTCTTCCAATTGATCTCCACTTCCACAGACCGCCGACTGAAAAAAACTTGTTAATTTTCTTCGTTCTATCCAAGTCCGTATTGTTTTTCAATTCTTTGTTTTTTCGCAATTTTGCATATAGACTCCCACTTAATCTTTTTCTGCCATCGCTCATTTTAGCCCACATATACTACGTACCTTTACTTTACCTTTACAAAGTTGTACCTTTATCTTTAGATTAATAACTAACGTTTAGTAATCAAATAAATCATAATACAAGCTCATCAAACTCATTAACAAAAACTTTTGTAAAATAACAGTATAATTGTATGTATAATTGTAATTATTTAGTTTTACGCTTTTCATTGTTGCTGTTATGTTTGAGTTTGTTGTGTCATTATTAGTGAACAGTTAACATAATTAACTGCGTTCAAATTTTTGTAGCTGTGTACACAATTATTGTGAAAAACGCGACCATGAAAAAAAACGGTATTCGTACATATTGTTACAATTTAGCGCCACTTGTAGTCATTCGTCCTCTGATTAATTAATTATTGTTCCAGTGATAAAAGTATGATTTTTTTGCATGACATTATCGGCTATATGTTCCGATACATGTATTTTAAATATATGATCAGAACGAACGGCAACTGTTAATCGATTTTTTAAAGTTTTAAATTATTTAAACTTGAACGCCATAATTTTTGAGTAAAGTATCAATTTCATTAATTATTTTTATTCAACTTGAACATTTTTAAATAACTAGTTTTCAAAATATGCTGCCCCCCAAAATTTGCCGCCCCAGGCCGGTGCCTGTTGTGCCTGTGCGTTAATCTGCCACTGGGGACAACTTGTACGTTAATAAATATTTCTGAACCTCCAAGCAATTTTTAGCAATTTTTATAATTGAATTAATATTGCTCACAAAACCTACGAAACATGGAGTAAGACTTACCCGAAACATGTTTGTTTTCAAAATAGATCAGATGGCAAAATTATCAACGATTATAGAATTATTACGGCCCCCCTATCACATGGTATATGTATCGATAATAAGGAACTTCCAATATATTATAAATTCTATATATATGGGCACTGTATAAAAATATTTGATCATCTGGGCACAAACACAACATATCAATTTAAACACCGAAGATGGAAGGAATACTGTAAAAAGCTTTTCTGTTCTATCATGCATAAAACAAAAAAAAATTTTGGTTTTGAACTAAAGAAACTTGAAAATGATGTACGATCAACAGTTGGAAAAATCGAAAAGTTAAATTGTAAGTTAACTAAAGCCCTTTACACACGATTAGTTTTTTGCTCAGTTTTAACTGCGCAGACTGTTTGCGCAGTTAAAACTGATCGTGTGTGTGTCATTCAGTAAAACTGTACAGTCTACAAAACTGGCCTGTGATCCTGAAATTTGGACTGAACTGAGCAAAAAATCTGACAGTGTGTGGCGTACACAGTTAAACTGCGCAGTTTGAAATAAATTTTTTCAACACATTCCTGCTGCTATCTCATCTGTATATATATATATATATATATATTTAGGAACGAGGTTTTCAGAAATGCAAATTTCATTGAAATTGTTTGCCCATTTTGCATTAATTAACTTCTTTATAAGACATTCAACGAGGCGGTTTAGATTGAGTTCATATTTATCTAAAACTGGAATAAAGCTAACAGCGCTGTTTCGGCGTAATGCCATCTTCAGAGCCTAAATATTGTTTAAACATATAATTTAATTAAAATAAATGTCTAATGTAAAATGTGAAAATATAGAAAATAAAATATGTATTAAATTGTGAAATAAATTAACCTTGTTGTAAATATCATAATAACTAAAGTTTATGTAGATTATATAAATAAAATAATGTAATTTAAATAAAATGTTTAGTAAAATAATTAAAATATAGAAATTTTATAAAAGTTTTAACATGGTTGAAAAACGTTAGTGAAAACTAATTACGAATGACATGTGCGTCAGATATATAATATTGCTGTGTATGCGTTGTGAATACAACTATTGCGGTTGAATATGTGTGATACGAGTTTCCACATCAGACCTACGGATACATAGTTAAATATAAATGCATATATGTACATGCAAGATACATATCGATGTATAGATCAAATATTAAGTATCACATAATACATCCAACGACGCAATGACGGTTGTCGGATGACGCTGGGTCACAAACTGCGTGTTAATGAGTTGAAATGTATTCAACGTAGAATGATATTCGTATCGTTGTGGTACACGCAGATCCTGTGGATTAACCCCAACGGCAACAGTAGGTGTGAGATCGTGATATTGAGAAAACAATTGCAAAGTGTGATCAAAGCTGTTATATTGTTTATTGAGTGAGGGTTATGC